CATGCGCTAGTCTCCATTCCGTTGGATCTTCTGTATGTTTATTATTATCTATCTCTCTTCTTAATTACTTGTTGTGGCACAATTGTAAGTACCTAACCTAATACATGTGACATCTGTTTGATTAGGGTATTGGAGGATTCTGGCTGTTTCTATTAGACCGCTTGACGTTTTACTTAGGCATTGAGTATTCTAAACTTTTGGTTCAAGGCATTGAGCTTGCCTTTCTTTGGCGTCTCACCGTTTTTCTCTCCGTCGTGATCCACTCCATCTACATCGTCGACCACCTCCTCAGATCTCGTAAAACCGCACCACCACCACCACCTCAATCTCAGAATGATGAGACTCCGTTATCCACCGGTAATTATTTGTCTATATATGAACAAACCCTATCTAGCTATTGTTTCTTTTTATGCTAATCTTTTGATTAACTTTGAGTATGAAGGTGATGTGAGCAAGCAAGTGGAGAAGGTGAAGGAGTTAGATGGGAAGAAGATGATGACTGATATGGAGAACATGATCCAGTCGGGTCTTGAAACTCTTAGAGAAGAGTTGGGAGAGTTTCGTGATGAGTTGAGCAATGATGGGAAGAAGATGATGACACAAGTGGAGCATATGATCTGCTCACAACTTGGATCTCTGAGAGACAACGTTGAGGAGATCTTGGAAGAGCTTCGAGATGAGCTGAGATCTAATGTCGCCGAGGGTATCAAATCTGCAAGAGAAGATTTCAACAAGAATGTGATATCTGTAAGTGACCAACTCCATGAGTCCTACCTTTCTATCCAAGAAACCGCGAAAGAAGCCAAGACCACGGCCGAGAAAGCCCACGAGACCTACCTTGTCATCCAAGAAACCGTCGAAGAAGTTAAGACTACGGCCGAGAAAGCCAACGAGACATGCCTAATCTTCCAAGAAACCGTGAAAGGAAGCGGCTGATAAGGCCCACGAGACATACCTAATCTTCCAAAAAGAACAAAACAAGAGACAGATGATAAGAGGAGAGGATGTTGAGGGATTTTGCGAGCTGAGGGAGGAAGTGCGGCAAATGTCGGTGGAGGCTGAGATTGCGGCAGAGGAGATATCAGGTGCGATGATGGAGTTGGTGGAAGCGAGGATCCAGCAATGGGAGGAGGACAATGCCGACTACCTTGCCTCCCTCCCTTTCTTATATTCCAATCAGAACTAATTATTCATTTGATTCTTTCTTGCAATTTTTCTTTGTTGTTGTTTTGATAACGTCTACCTACTCTTTTGATCTTATACATTGGTTTTTTTTCAAGAACTTGATGGTTAGATTAATCTTGAGAACCACAAAAATCTATCTCAGCATCGAGTAAGTGAACGTTTCATCAGATGCTCAACATTAGGCTAAAGCCGCAGAATTGGAAGCCCATTGTTTTAACTTTTAAGGCCTAAGTAATTTTGTCTGTTGAGGACTCATTCTTCGTCGGAGCTGCAGAAGTCTAGTACCATCATTTTTCCGGTGGCAGTCTTGGCAGTTTCCTTGCCGTGCTCTGTTCTCTTCTTCTTCGGCTCGGTCTTTACTTGCAGTTCTTTTACTGATGCTTTCCTGAAGAGAAAAAGACATCTTTGATATAACATTTCTTACATTAGCACAACTCAGGAAAATAACAACTCATAAAGAAGGTACCTCTTCTCTACAGGCTTATTCACACCTTCAGATTTCTTGTTTACGTTCTTCAAAGCCGTTTGTCCTGCAAGTGCAATATCAGCACATTGCACCTTATAAAGCTTTGTATTGTATCAAAAGGAGAAAGAAGAAGCATACTGGCCATCTCGTTCAGGAAACGTATTCCTTGTGAGTGTACGTTAGGCGTCACTTTATCCGCAGTACTGCATAATCACAATTGGTTGTAGAATATGATAAGCGGGTTCTGGTTCGTTATGTTAAGAGTAAAAAACTTGTTGAGAGTTTCCAACCTGAGAGCCTTTCGGAGACCTTCTACTGATAGTACTCGGACAGGTTGAGTGGCCTTTTTGTTTCCGCTCCTATCTGTTGGTGGCTCAACTGTGTAAATCCCTTGGGATCTTGGATCTCTGAAAGCTGTTCTCAAGTTCCTGAAATAAGAAAAAAAAACTCCCAAGGATCATGCAAACTCCACACTCAAGGTAATAATGGTAACCCTATGAACTCGACTCGGTAAAATTAACATACCCTCCTTTGAGTTCAGTTCTCGTTGTAGCAAATTTGTCTGATGCATTCTGTGAAAAAAATTCATAGTTAGTGAAAAACATGGTTCGTTCCATTGAATCCAGAAAACAAGACTTAGGCATTACCAATATGTACCAGTTTATGAATCTTGCAGAATGCTCCTTGGCGTCTGAAACCAAATTCAAAGTTGCAACTCAAACATTCAGAAACAACACATTGTAATATGCATGGCCAAGGTAACTTACTTGTTTACGACAGATGTACAAGTTGTTCCATCTTTCCGCTTAGCTGCGCAGACTCCATAATCAGCGGAAACTCCCAGTTTTACCATTTGTTTAGCGGAGTTGACACTCAATGAGAACTCACGTCCCTGCCACAGATACAAATTTATAAAAGGAGATGAAGTTAAGCCATCAAGGCTAGTCACAGTGATGCACTAGGCTTACCAATTTGTCCTTGCGAATGGAGCAATTAAACAGACCGAAAACCGTTCCTGCCTTTTCTGTCTCGTTCTTCTTAAAAGCATCACCAAACAAGAACAAGGAGACAATGTTTTCATTTAAGCTACCGATTTTCCATATGCCGTAAGGCTGACCTATTGAGCTTGTTTTGGGTTGTCCCTTCTCTGTTAACACTCCCATTGTGGCCCAGCACCCGGACAGTTTGTCACCCACTAGCAAGTTCCTATACAGAAAACTCATTTGTCATGTGCTTTCCAAAAGCAAGTATGTTTAACAAAAGGGAAAGAACTTACTTTAGTGTTGGCAATCGAACGAAACGAATATCTGAAAACCGATCACTAATCTCTGCAGGGCTAAGTAATTGATTCCTACGAAAGATTTGCTAGTTAAAACAATGGATTGAGACAGAGAAAAACAATCTGCGACTATGTACAAGAACCTCAGGAACTTAAATAAAGGGGTTTACTTTTACCTTATGCGCAAACCAGAAAACTTGTCAATGCCGTTGAGAATGGAGGTTTTGGGTTTAGTGTTTCTGGAGACTGATTTAGGATCATAGTCAAGACAATCTTGAACAACGCTTCTGAATTCAGACAAATCCGAATGAGCTCTACGTTTGGGGGATTCATCATCCGTGAGATATCCGGCTATAAGCAAGCATGCGATTAGGGAACCCAATTTGACGTAATAGAGAAACAAAAGAAATCAAACTTTTACAGAAAATTGAGGGAATGGGATGAGAATAAGAACACCCATCAGATCTAATATGCAATTAATCGATCGAAACATTATCACAGACCGGAATCGAGTGAAGAGAAGCTCACCGGTTGCAGCAGAAGGAGGAGAACCGGGAGGAGTTTCGAGAACCCTATCGTCAAGAGACAGAAGCAGATCAAGATCTTCTTGGTCGTTTTCCATATTCATCACCGAAGAAAGAGAATCAAATTTCTCAGATTGATACAATCGCCAAGCAGACAAGACACACAAAACATCTCCTAACTCTCTGGGCGGGAGACTTGATTTCGTTGCCGCCGAAACGCAAAAGCGACGTCGTTTTCGTATTTGTGGGCTTTTCTTCGCCACGTGGAATATTGGCCGGTTCGCAAAGAAAAAAAATTCATCAATGTACGAGTAAACCGGATAAGTTGCGTGACGTCAGTGTCGGCATGGGATTTTGTTATCAATTCTACGTGGACCATCACCAACAAGAATGGACCTAATTGCACTAACAGCCAATTAGAGTGTGACACGTGATGTAATCATGGGCTCTGTTTATTATCTAGTTGGGCCCATTTAATATGGCCCAGTATGAGATGCTTACTGCTCAGATTTTCATTTTTATGCCATGTTTCGATCAAAGGTTAATTTGCCCTTCAACTTCAACAACTTACCAAATGTGGCAGTGGCACAATCTTGACATATTTGTTGACCTAAAAAAAAAATAATTCCCATAATAATTACAAATAAATAACCACAATTATGCCGGAATTAGTTG